TTAAAAGAGTATCCTGTATAGGGTTTAGCGCATTTTACATCATGACGCATGCTCTATCACAGTGAATTTACCTGTCACGTGTGCTACTACGTATATACATGTTAAGGAGCGGACAAAGAGAGGGGGTTTAGCGATACATACCGGTACTTATACCGAACCCCCCCCCTCCTCTTCCTTCCACCCCCTCTCCCTCCCCCTCCTTCTTCTCTTCCCTTCGGCCATCTCCCACCTATAGGTTTACACTGTGGCTACGCTAATCATTTCATAGATCTTACTATCATCTCTCCCTAATAATACCTGAGCAACGCTCAACCCATATGCTATCGTAACTGTGGAATATCATCCCAATCAGCCCTGCTGGAGTTTTCCGAAGAGACATTAACTTATTGCGCATCTGCAGTAAGTCTTCCACACTGCGGAGGGATAATTCACTATTTCGTGGACTATCTCGGTTTCCACGCACTACTACCACCCACCCTAGCTCTCGCAGCATGCGGTTGCTTACCCCTTTGTGCTCTATATCCTGTAGTTAGTGTCGCACGTGTCTCACGCGATATCATACCCATGTACTGCACTATTCACTCATTAGGCATAGCTCCTATCTCGTACAGTATATAGTCAGCTCAGAGCTCTATCGAGCTCCTCAGACCTTACAATACACTTGTTTAATCCACCTTGTTTAGATCTCACTACCTTGTTGACTTGCTTCCCATATGACCCTTCCTCAGCTCATGCAAGACTGGCGGGTAGCGAGAATGTTGTGACTCGTTATTGCTCTCCCTGCCTTCCTTGCCTGCTTTGCCGGCGACCTCCGGACCCTCTCTGGTCGTTGGCTCGACCATATCGCCTGCCCCTACAACGTTCTCTGCTCCTCTGCCCAGCCGCATCTTAAGCAGAATCTCTGCGGTTGTTCTATCTATCTTATCTAATTGTTCTGAAATCGCGATTTCATATTCATCCTGCTCAATATTTGCCTCCCTCTCGCCTGCTTGAATCTGTTGAATCTGTCTGGCGACTTCGGCATCTTCGCCGGTCATCGGATGTGCAGCTGGCGGTGGACGGTTCGTTTGCAGATTTCGTCGCTGGGTAGTTTGTCGAGGTTTGTCCTCCTGAGAAATTGGAACCTGAACGGTCGTCCGAAGGCTGATTTCTGTAGGTGTCTCAGTAGGTACATCTGCGGGAATCTGGGGCTCATATGCAATAAAATCAGCGAGCCCCTGAGGATGGCGTTGCCGCAGGTATCGTTGTTGATCGCGTTTCTTCCTGGCATCTGCTGCTACTGCTGTTGTAGGAAATTTCCTTGGCCTGCCTAGAGGCTTTTTAGGGGTATTAATGGATAGCATGATGCAAACAATGTTATGATAGTTAATAATTAAAAGGCTTCCGCTGCCCGTCAACACTTTCAAATTCTGAAACCGCCCAAATCTAGTTAGCGTAGTAACGGCACGCCCCTTATCACATCATCTCGTGCGCCGACCCTTACACCCCTTGCCTAAATAGCAGGCTGTAATAGCTCAGCGCAGCGGGCAAATGCCTAATAACATAGAAAATTTAATAAGGAGAAAGAACAATCTTCTTGCTGTTAGATAAAGTTTAGAAGTACTTAACTAACTTGCGTATATCTTGCATGAGCTGAGGAGGGGACATATGGCAAACGACTCGACAAGGGAGCGAGATCCAAACAAGGTGGATTGAACGAGTGTATTGTAAGGTGTGAGGAGCTCGATAGAGCTCTGAGCTGACTATATACTGTACGAGATAGGAGCTATGCCTAACGAGTGAATAGTGCAGTACATGGGTATGATATCGCGTGAGACACGTGCGACACCACCGGGTCTCACTCTGTTAGAGGGGGGGCCTAGGAAAAGGTTACTGCAACCTTTTCCCAAACCACCCCTTCCCTAATTATCCTAGCTGCGTACTACAGTTTGCAGAGATATACTGTAGTTTGCAGCAATATGCTTTTACTCACGCCGCCAGTTAATCCTAGCTAACAATCTTAGGCACCAGCCTATTACACAGGCATTCTATCTACGCCCACGTTCTAGGTATAGTATTCTATGCAATTACGTCACCCTGACAAGCGGCCCTAGCGCGAAATACAGCA